CCATCCATCTCATCTCCCACTATATCCAGGACTTCCCAGGGACCAAAGTACTGAGGCATTAGTTTGCGAGAGATTCCGAATTCTTGTCCTAACTCACTAGCCTTGACCCAGACACGTTCCCTTACCTGAAATGTGGACTGTCTATGGTGTTGATTCTCATAAGCAATCATTGCTTGCTGAGATTTCTTCATGTGCTCGACAGCTTCTTGCAGCAACTTCTCATACTGAACACCATACTCAATTGTACCTGGAGTTGCAGCGAGTTGATTTTCGGGAGGCGCTTTGTTCACCTTCTTCACTCTAGTTACTGGAAGTTTTTGGGGAAAACCTATGTGGGGAACCTTTTGGGTTTGGGATGCTCGAAACACTTCCGTATTAATACTGCTATTTATCTATTTAGGTGCACTACCCCACGAAGGAGGAAGGCCTCGGTTGAAATGATGTTCGAAGTTTATTTCAATTAACACAATTGTGTCGCATAAGTAGCGACCTGCACGAATGGTGTAACGACTGCCCCGCTGTCTCCAACATGGGCTCAGTGAAATTGAATTCTCCGTGAAGATGCGGAGTACCAGCGGCTAGACGGTAAGACCCCGTGCACCTTTACTATAGCTTTGCATTGACAACCTTGATTGGTTGGAGGAAGTCTAATGCTGATCTAGGCTTCCATCCCAAGTGAAGTTGATTAGGACTAACGCCGGTACTGCTGTGGACAACATTGTTGTACAGGCTGGCGATGAGAGGTAACTGCTCATCCCAATCATCCTGACTGGGCTTGATGTAATGCCTCAGCAAGTGCTGTACAACTCTGTTCATTTGCTCGGCTTGTCCGTTGGCTTCGGGATGATTCCCTGAAGTCATCTGAAGTTAATTGCCCATCTGTTTTGCAGTCTTCTTCCACGACTCACTTGTGAATCGGACATCTCGGTCACTAACGATTGATTTTGGTAAACCAAAGTCACGCACCCAGTTGTCTTTGAACAACTTGATGACATAGTCGGTTCTTGCGGTCTCTGGCATAGCCACTAGTCTAGCGTACTTGGTGAATCGGTCAATGATGACGAAAATGTGCCTCTTACCACTCTTGCTGGTCACAAGAGTGTCCATGAAATCCATGGAAACACTCAATCCTGGACCATCAGGAATAGGTAACGGCTTCAATAACCCAAGCGGTGCTTGAGTTCGCGGCTTGTCCCGCTGACAGACCTGACAGGTCTCTACGTACTTCTTTGCGTCATCGAACATTCCTGGCCACCAAAATCGCTGTACTAGGTTAGCACTCGTCTTCTTGTAGCCAAATTGCCCAGTTGCGTCATGGCATTCGCCTAAAAACAAACTACGCAATCGCTCACTAGATGGAACTACTAATCTTTTTATTCCGGCCTTATCGAGATAGAGTAACCCGTCCACTATCACAAACTCACTTTCTGTGGCCTTGTCTTTAGCCTGAAGTTTGCGCATGATGTCCATTGTGATAGGGTCTTCCTGATAGGCTCCCACCAATGATTGAGTTACTTCTTCAGATACGCCAAAGTCAGAAACTAGCGCACCTAGGTAGTTTGCTCTACGTGATAGCGCATCAGCAACCTTGTTATACTCTCCCTTCAGATACTCAATCTTGAAGTCATATTGGTCTATGACCTCAATCCATCGCTTGAGTGCGTTAGAAAGAGCCGGTTGAGTCTTGATCCATTTGAGGGTCTGATGATCAGTCCTCAAGTAGAAGAACCTTCCCAATAGGAAGTGTCTCCAATGGACAAGTGCTTTGTATAAAGCATAGAGTTCCCTTTCGTAGGTGGACTTTGCCAACTTCTTCGATGGCATCTTCTTGCTCATATACTCAGTCAGTCTCAACTTTTTCCCATCCTGCTGAGCCAGCACTGCGCCTATGCCGTATTGGCTTGCGTCAGTGGTCACTATGAATGGCTTCTGAGGATCGGGAACCATGAGGACCTCATGATTCATGAGTGCATGCTTCAATCTCTTGAAAGCACCCTCGCACTCATCACTCCAGTCCCACGGTGTGTCAAGTCGAGTTAGATCAGTCAATGGAGAGGTGATTGTAGAATAGTTCTTTACGAAGTTCCTATAGTAGCCGCACATTCCTAAGAATGATCTGACCTCAGTGACTGTTTTAGGTCGTGGGCAGTCTCGAACACTAGCCACCTTCGCATCTTCCGGCCTAATCCCTTCCGCGGATACTYCATGACCCAAGTATAGTATCTTAGTGCGACCAAACTCACACTTCTCTAAGTTGACCTTATACTTGTGCTGTCGCAGGAGTGAGAGAACTGTCTCAATATGCTGTGCGTGCTCCTCGGCAGACTTACTAAACATCTCTATGTCGTCTAGGGAGACCACGGTAAACTTATCTAAATGGTCATGGAAGATCCGATTCATAGCGTGCTGAAATGTTCCTGGCGCGTTACAAAGACCAAAAGGCATCACTACAAACTCATACAGACCGTAACGAGTCTGAAAAGCTGTCTTGTGTTGGTCCTCTGGCCTTATAGCGATCTGATAATAGCCGAATTTCAAGTCTATCTTGCTATAGTACTTGCATCCCTGCACCCTATCCAATAGGTCGTCTATGCGAGGTAGAGGCTCTGCGTTCTTCACAGTGATGGCATTGAGGCCTCTATAGTCAATGCACATCCTCAATTTACCCCCCTTCTTCGGTACGAATAGCACGGGAGATCCGTAAGGGGAAGTACTAGGCCGAATCCATCCCTTTTCTGTCAGCTCCTTAAGCTGTTGCCGAAGTTCATCTAACTCGGCGGGAACCATCCTATAGATCCTTCCCTTTGGGGTCTTACTCCCTGGAATGATTTCTATAGCGTGGACAACTTCCCTTTCAAACACTCATGTGGGCTCTTCGAACAAATCAGGGAACTTAGCAACGACGCGTTCTATCTCTGGGGGTGTTTTAACAGCCTCCCCTTTCTCAAAGACATACACAAGGTACATACCTTCCTCTTGGTTTTGCTTGTAATAATTGTAGAATGCTGATGCATACAAGCAGCCATAGGTATCTATAATGCTACTGGCCTTGAACTTAGTCAATCTGACAGTTCAGCCATCGGGCAACTTATGCTTGAGCACCTTCTTATCCCAGTCGAACTGGGGCTTAGCAAATTTGAGGTAGTACATCCCTAACAACATATCAAATGGGAAGTCGTCGCTAACCAAGAACGAGATCTTATGATTAAGTTCTCCTCCTCCATAGGAGAAGGTACAGACTACGTCCTTGATATAGTTTGTTACTATCATGCGCTCCTTGTTGGCCAAAGTTGATGCTACAGGTGTACTAAGGTGTCGTACCCGGTCCTGTAGGTGCATCCTTTCCAAACAGTCGCGACTTATGTAATTCCGCGTGGATCCGATGTCTATGAAGGCACCACATTTGCGGCCTCCTACATCCACTTCCACCACGAAATGTTCCCCTCTAGGACCTTTCTTCAGTTCCACCCAAGACTCGCGAGGGTCCTTGTTTGACCACTCACCTTCTAAGTCTTTTAAGGCCTCAGACACATCTAATATACAGAGCATAGTTTGGTCTAGTTGTGTCTGCGGGGTGGCTAAGGAGTCATTAGCTTTGGCCTTGTCATGAAGTGGGAAGGGTATCAAGCCCACGTCATCTTGAGTAGAAGCTGCTAAAACTTCCACTGGCCTCACGCATTTCCTGAGCTAGAAGTCTGGGAATAAGATGCCCCCATCTTTGGAGCTATCTTTTGCGTAACCTTTGCATTCTGGCTCTTGTACTGCGAGTGTCCGTATTCCCCGCAATTGATACAAGCGCCACGCACTCGGCGGTCACGCCACACGTCTTGATCAAGACCTGCCTTTACCCATTCAACCACTTTGGACTGATTGGAGGCGGCCTTCCCTTGACTCCTAGGTTGGCCCTTCCCTCGGCCACCTGCCTTAGTCTTAACTACCGCGGCGAGGGTGTTACCCTCAGCTACCTCCTCGCCGTCAAACTCTGTATAGTCCATCAGGTCAGTGAGCTCGTCGATTTCAGTTTGGGTCCCATCGGACTCCACCATCATCAACTTAGCCCCCTTCTTCTTCCACTCCTGAGGACTCTTCTTCTTCTTCGTGTCGTTCTGAGTGGGTTGAGCATTGCCTAGTGTGGCCTCTAAATCTAAGGCTTTCCTAGACAATGTCTCAAATGAATGGTACTCGAGGCGTGCCTCGCTGGCCAGCAAGTTCCTGATGTTCTCAGGAAGACATCTAACAAAGGTTGTTAACAGGAACTGGTCACTATAGTTGATGCCAGGGACGAGGATCAGGCTCTCGACGGTAGTCGTAAGGTCTCTGACCGACTTGAACTTTCGTTGGTCCAGTTTGTTAATCGCATTAGTGACTCTTTGTGCCTCCTGTGGATTATGCCATCGAGCTTCTACCATTTCCATGAACTGGTCTAACGTTAATGACTTAGCCCAGTCCTCCATGCGTCGCCCGTACCCTGCCTTCACAACTACACCATCTAGCCATTTGGCTGCCTTACCTTCGAGGTAAGATGCAGCAATTACCACTTCATCCTCAGGCAAGGTCCTCTTTGCCTTCACCCAAACCGGGACGGTCCTCAACCATGTGTTGAGTTCTTCGTCCTTTCTCTCGCCTGAGAAGGCAAGAGGCGGTTTCATTGGGGTCTTAGGATACCATTGACCCTGCGGCTGTCCAGATTGTTGAACAGGTTGTTGCGGTGGTGTAGCTCCCACCACTGGACCCGAAGAAGAAGATGCAACAATCTGTGCGATTGCTGCAGACGTACCACTTCGCTGTGTACCAGCTTGAACTAGAAAGGGGCCTGTCATCGCCGATAACGGCAACGGCGATTGTGCTGGTGGCCTGAATCCTGGCCTTGTCAAAACATCCAGGATCTGGTCTAGAGTGCCTTGCATGAAGTCGTATCTGCTGTCCACGTGCGCATGCAGCGACAACATATTCTTCTTCAGTGTTTTCATCTGGTCAGACTATGCTGACTCATCCAAGCCCTCTAACTCAGCTTTGTCAGCCTCTAAAATATCAAGCCAGGCTGCTCTATTTTTAATCTCTCTTTCTCTGTCGGTAGCTTTCTTCAGATCCCTCTCTAACTGTTCACGGATCCTTTCAACCTGCTCGAGCTCCCTGAGCTCCCTTTCGACCTGCTCGAGCTCCCTGAGTCAACGGCCTTAACTGCGAGCCCACCATTTGACTTGTAGACTGTCTAGAACCTAAAGAACTGGAAGTACCCGTGGACCCTGTGGGCATTCCCAACTGGGACCCATTGGTCCCAGACAAGGCCGCAGAGGATGCTGCTGAGCTAGTCATGGCTGCTGCCCTAGCTGTTGCGGCAGCCTGTTCCCTAGCTGCAGCGTTTGCTGCTTCCCTAGCTGCGGCGTTTGCTGCTTCCCTAGCTGCTGCTAGTGCATGGGCTCTGCGTTCGGCACGAAGCCGTCTTTCTTCTCCCGGTTCTAAGGCCTGGAACATGTGCGGGATCCTAAGTGATCTAGCACATGCGAGTCTGACATCGTCAACTCTCTCCTCATCGACGTCTGATCCGCTCATGAGTTAGGCAAACATTATCTGCACTAGAATCCCCTAATGGAATCCTACCACAGCTTGTGTCTGACCGACACCTAATTTTCTAAAAATAGTTGTGTCCGGCAGGTGCCCTACTGTACCGACCAAGTGGCATGTCTACAACATTCACAACAGATTGTCTACATAGTCTAGATGTACTCTGATTGGTTCACTTACAACAGCATTAGACATAACTGGCTATGGTAGCATACAACAATCCTAATCTAATTCTGTCTGTGAGGTGTTAGCAGTCTGTCCACCTACTAATCAAAATACAAAAAGACCATGTTGCAGATGTATGATGAGTGGGTATGGTTGTGTATTCAGTTGAGCACCAATTAGAACCTACCCTCCCCTCAATCCAACATGCCGAACAACATTTTTGAGCGAGCAGTGTCTTTGTGTGTGTATCGGCCCACCCCTGTGCCCAAGTCGTTACCGAGCAAGCCAGCCCAACCACTCTTATTTACCCTCGTATGGCGACGAGCCTTCCTGTCCATGTGACCTGGCTGATCAGGAGGAATTTATAGAGCGCCCCCATCTCTTCAGGAATTCTTTAACGTCGCAGTCAGGACGACGATCACAGCCAGATTCACAATAAACTTCCAACCAGAAATGTTTATAGACGGTCTGGTAAGCGTCTGCCATGGACTGGCACACCCGGTAGGACTTCTATTTAGCGCAGCAAGTGCCAAAATGGACAGCAGCCATCGCATGCGTGACCTACTCCCATTGGGTTGGCATGGTGACCGTGACCCAGTGCTTCGACCAGGGCCCTTCAGAGGCACCGCCCTTTCTCCTTCCAGATGCTTCCGGGAAGATTGTCGTCTCTCAAGGTAGCGCGCTCACGACACCTCACCAAAAGAGAGGACTCTCAAGTTGGACTCACTTCCTCACGGTAAGAAGAGATTGAGAGAGTAGATAAGGTAAGGGAACAATGNGAGAGGACTCTCAAGTTGGACTCACTTCCTCACGGTAAGAAGAGATTGAGAGAGTAGATAAGGTAAGGGAACAACGTACCTGGAGATAGCTGCCCCCAACCACAGATTTCTCACCAATTGAGCTGAGTGTGCATTTGATGACCGGTCTTGGCCTTGGTACCACCCACAACGCAATGCAGTGCCACCTCAGCCGAATGCCACATCAGCATGCTCTCATCACCAATCATACATTCCGCATGTCAACACGGCATACACTGCCGTCTTAGCCTTCCGGCTCACCCCTCTCTACCCAGGGCGTGCGCCTATACATGGCCTGATGTCACAAGTACCAACTGCGAAGAAGCATCGTCAACGCACCAAGTCTGTATAACGCCAGCGTGCCAGAGGTAAGTGGCGAATCAAACCAGCTCTGATACCAAATTGCAAGGAACATGAATATGGACGAAGCACAGAAATCCAGAATGCAAAATCACACTGAAGTCCAAGTAGTCAAAGCCAGAGCAGATAGCACAATGGAACCGAGTAACCATCCAATTGAGAATGATACAGAAGAATCGTGAGTCAATGTCCATGCCCAACAGGGCAACACCAACAGCATAACCCAATGTAGCTCTCTCATATGAATGGCGCCAGGCGCCCTATCTACTCTWCAGACTAAGCCTACAACTACAGCAAGGAAAGCAACCAGACAACTTGACTACCAGCGAGTGATGATGTCAACACCAATGCCGACCTCCACCTCCACCAGGTACGTGTCCTCTTCACCCACACTCTCCCTTGTTACCCACACAGCGCCCTTCACCTCCGAAGAACCACCTTCGCCCTCACCTCAGTTGCGCCCCATGCAGCCCGGCTATGGCTGCCAGCGCATAGTGCACAGGCAGCGCCCTACCGCCTAGCACCTGCCTGCCTTGCACCTCTTCTTAGCGCAGCGCAGCAGCAGCTCGCATTCGCGCAGCGTGCCGGCAATGCTCGCATTGGCCAAGAGTCCCTGCCCACTCGCCCTGCTTGCCTATA